CTTGAAGTAATGGATATTATTACCAAAGCTTTAAGTGACAACTGTGCTGCATTGCTCATTTTGTTAGATTTTGCCAAAGCTTTTGATCGTGTATCACATCTTCTGCTTTATCACAAACTGGCTGGCTATGGTTTTAGCAATAATATTCTTGTCTGGCTCAAAGACTTTCTTGAAAATAGGAAACAGCGGGTTGTTCTAGGAAATTTCTCTTCCGAATGGAAGGATGTCCATAGTGGTGTACCTCAAGGATCTGTCAAAGGTCCTCTTCTTTTTTTGATCTTTATTAACGACATGCCAGAATTAGTCAAAAATAATTGCAAACTCTTTGCTGATGATAGCCAGTTGGTTGCCAAAATAAAAACAGTTACGGACTTGGCTTTAGTTTAAAATGATATTGATATGATATGTAATTGGTCAAGACTTTGGTGCATGGAACTTAGCATAAATAAATGCAAGGTTCTAAAGTTCCGTGGTGGTTCCACTGACATCAATATCCCCTTGACAATGTTAGATAAAAATGGCAGTCAAATTCCTATTGAAGATGTATCCGTTGAAAGAACATTGGGTGTTCTGATACATAATAAACTAAAATGGTCAGATCAGATTAGTGATGCCACTCTCAAAGCTAATTCTATACTTGGGATACTCAAAAGAACTTTTAAAAAATGGAATCCAACTATGTTCGTGAAGCTCTATACAGCATATGTAAGACCGATATTGGAGTATTGTGCACCAAATTGGTTCCCTTTTCTTCTAAAAGACATTAAAAAGTTAGAGTCGGTCCAACGTAGAGCTACCAAACTCGTTCCACAATTTCGCAGCTTGAATTACAAGAAACGATTAGCATATCTTGGTCTCAGCTCATTAGCTGAACGTCGAACAAGAGGAGATGTAGTTCAATTTTTTAAAATTTACAAAAAATTAAATATTGTTAACTGGCAACAGCAGATTAACAGAGCAAGTGCACTCCTATGTGATGGTCCTGCAGGTCATCTTTGTGGTGCCAAGCATAAAATTGATCGAGAATTATCGAAAAACTCTCAAAGACATAACTTCTTTAGAAACCGAGTGGTGTCATCATGGAACGCTTTGCCTGCTTCGGTAGTTGCTGCAAATTCAGTTGATCGTTTCAAAAACAATTATGACAAATGGAATCGTTCTATCTCACGTCGGTCTACTATAGTCGGGTCTCGTTAGACACTCGGCTCATAGAAGTCAAGCTTCTATTGTAGAATTACTATAATAATAATAATAATAATAATAATAATAATAATAATATATATATATATATATATATATATATATATATATATATATATATATATATATATATATATATATATATATATATATATATATATATATATATATATATATATATATATATGTATATATATATATATATGTATATATATATATATATATATATATATATATATATATATATATATATATATATATATATATATATATATATATATATTTATATATATATATATATAAAGTCTATTTCTCATATATATATATATATATATATATATATATATATATATATATAAATATGTAAGCACTCAAGATAAATAATTTTAAAATATAATGACAACGAAACATTTCTCGAAAGGTAAGTAAAATTTTAACTCTCTAAATAAAATAATCTTTATTTTGCAAAGCAATTGAGGATCAGTAAAACGGGTCATGGGGAGCTAGGTATATCAAATAAATTATTTTATCTTTTTTTCAGCATAAAACACAAACAGAACAAATTCATGTATGTCATGCACTTGGCATTAGAACCGATAATATTGGGTTTACATAATTTAATAAAATGTAATAGTAAACTGCAAAATAAGGTAACGAAGTGAAAATTATTCAAATTACTAATTACAACAGCTTGAATTGCAATTTGTTTAAACAGCTTGTAGAGAATGGTATGAAGATTGATGATTATTCTTCTTTGCCTTTGGAAAATGATCAACTCTTTTAAAACTTTTAAATTAGATAAACCTAAAAATGGAAAAAATTATTATTGATAACACTGACTGATAACATTATTGATAGCACATTTATATGTATTATGTTAATTCATTTGGTAAAATAAAAAATACAAAAATACGTAACAAAATTGCATATTAAACAATCAATAAGACACTTACTTTGAGAGATTTTTTTGAGAAATTCTTATCCAGCTAGCACACATACGTTGTTAAAACATTAGAACAATATCGCGCGTATCGTTGGCCCAACCTCGGCTGCCAACATTGTTTTTATATCATTATGGTTACAAATGCGACGTCGCCAACAACTAAAAACCAATATTGATAAAACGTTTATTTAACGTTTTATTTTATACGTTGGCCCAACGTTGCATTTTTAGTTTGCAAAACGTTGTGTTTTACGTTGTATTTGCGTTGATTCAGCGTTGAATTTTAATTGGCAAAACGTTGTATTCACTATTATTCAAAACTAAATTTTCATTAAATTCTATTTTCTATATATATATACATATATATATATATATATATATATATATATATATATATATATATATATATATATATATATATATATATATATATATATATATATATATATATATATATATATATATATATATATATATATATATATATATATATATATATATATATATGTGTGTGTGTGTGTGTGTGTGTGAAATAAATCGTGTTTATAAATAAGAGAACTGGAGCAAGCAGAAGACATAAATTGTCTTATTATCAAGCCCCATCATAAAATTTACATTAAAAAATCGTCAGTTAATATAAAAAATGAAGAGTAGCTAAGTGCATAACAAGAATTTTAAAAACGTTAGTTACAATATAACTAATAACATAATATAAATATTAGTGTTGAAATATAACGCATTATATCAAAGATTAACAATAATTTAAAAGTATTAAAGTTTTTTAACAAAAAATTAAATTAGATTAAAATTGCAACAAAAGAGAAGAAGTGTCAATAACTGTTTTTTTAGATAGTTTATATTATTTGTGTATTATTTTTAAAAGGGATATTTTAAATCAAAGTCTTTTTGTAATAAGAGATTCTTAGATTCTTTTGTGAATTTGTCCAAATAGATGTGTTGAACATTATTATTTTTTGTGATAAATTTTGAAAAATGTCTCCATAGAAACGCTCCGCGGTATTGGATTTTGTAAGAATTTAGTTTTGAAGGTTCACATTGAAAAGTTCTGTGGGCACCAAATATAATCCTGCATGCATGTTTTTGCTTACTATGAAGTTTTTTCAACTTACCAAAGTTAGTACTACCACATACAATATTGCAGTAAGAGATAAAACTATGAATAAATGAAAAGTATGTTTTTTTCAGAGAAGAGGTGTTAAGATATGGTTTAGTTTTATATAATATATAAATGTTTCTTGATATTTTATATTCTATATATTTTATATGTGGTTTCCATGACAAATTTTCATTTATTATTACTCCTAGAAAATTAACAATTGGTTCCCTTTTAATAAATGTTTTATTGATTAGGAGATTGGGTAATTTTAGAGGAGCATCATCACCTTTACTAGGTTTAAAAAATAAAATAAATTTAGTTTTTTCTCATTTAACGAAAGCCTATTGCTTGTAAACCAATCGTTTATTTTGAATAGTTCTTCATTAAATATATTAAAGAGAGCTTCTATATCTTTGTTGGAATAAAAAAGATTGGAATCATCTGCAAGCGATATAACATTTAAAATATTTGATGCTAAGTATAAATCATTTATATACAATAAAAATAATAATGGCTCTAAGATTGAATCTTGGGGCACACCACATGTAATGTGTTTTTCTTTTTCTTTTTTATTATAAATAATACATTGTGACCTGTTTGCTAGGTAGTCTTCAAACCAAAGAAAATTTTTATTCTTTATTCCATATAGTTCTATTTTTTTATCAGTATCTTATAGTTAACAGTGTCAAAGGCAAAGACAGATCAATAAAAACTCCAAGAGTAAAATAGTCATTATTGAATGTATCCGATACATGATTTATTAGTTCAATTACAGCATGGTTTGTTGAGTTATCTTTTTGAAATCCAAATTGTTTACTGTACAACAAACTTTTTAACATCAAATAGTTGTAAAGTCTGTTGTACATAATTCGTTCCAATAATTTTGAGAAGCATCGTAAAACGGAAATAGGTCTGTAGTTGTAAATATTAGTTTCGTCACCAGATTTAAAAATGGGAGTGATTATGGCAACTTTAAATTTTTTTGGCACAACATCTAGCTTTAATGAAAGATCAAAAATATGAAAAAATGACGATTCAATGATATCGAAGACTGACTTAACAACATTCACACTAGTTTTGTCAATGCCCGCCCTTTTATTACTTTTAAGACTGTTTAAAGCATTCCTTATTTCGCTTAGATTTAAATTAGATTCTTCCATAATAGAATTACATGGTTTAATATAAGATTCAAACTTTGTGGTACTTGACGGAATTATTTTTATCGTAAATCATTTCCCCATTAATTAAAAGCTTTTGTGGGAGATTATTTTTTTCACATTTATTTTTACCAATTATTTCTTTAATTATATTCCACGTTTTTTTAGTGTCACCGTTAGTTTTTTTTCAACAACTTTGCATAATAAATTTTTTTTGAGTGTTTTTTGTTTTTTTCAAATAAGTTTTTATAGTTTTTGTAGTTTATTTCATTTTTATATGTTTTATGTCTTAAATATTTATCATTATTTGATTTTATTAATTCCTTGGTCATCCAGGGGTTTAAAAGAGACTTGGATTTTATAACAACTTTTTTAATAGGAAATGCTATGTTATACTGTTTACAGAACTGCGCTAAAAATAGCTCATATGCAGTATGGACTTTATGGGATTTTAAAATAACATTCAAATTGATATTTTATGTTAAAAGAGTTCGAAAACATAATAAGGAGTTTTCATTGATCTGTGTAGTAGTTTATCACCTCCGCCTGATTTATCACCTCCCCCCATAGAAAACTCAAAACGAGATTGCGCTTTTAGTTTATAGCTGTTAGAATTGTACCTAAGACGTCCGTTTAGCGCAATAAACTTTAACAACAACAACTTAAAGGAAAAACAAGATCAACAATTCTAGAAATAAAATTTACTCGGTCTGTTGTGATGTTCCAATTCCATATTTTTGAAAGGTAACTAGAGAAAAAAACAATAGCGATATAAATTATACTATAATAATATATTATTAATTTTTAAAACTATAAATTAACTAGTTATGTATTTTTGTTGTAAATACTTGAGGATTTGAACTATATGTGACTGATTTATCACCTCCCCCTAGTAAATTACTTGTCTTACATCTGGTTTATCACCTTACCCCTAGTAAATCACTAAGCTTGAGATTGTGTGACAAAGGTATTTAGAGATAGTGATAGAAATTATACAACCACAAATTTAATAGTTATGTATTTTTGTTGTAAATACTTTAGAATTTGTTTTATATGTGGCTGATTTATCACCCCCCCCCCCCTTCGTAAATTACTTGTCTTACGTCTGATTTATCACCTCCCCCTTTGTAAAAAGGTAATGCATTATATATATATATATATATATATATATATATATATATATATATATATATATATATATATATATATATATATATATATATATATATATATATATATATATATATATATATATGTATATATATAAATCTGTTTTTTTATAAATTAATAATTTTTGCTTTATTTTCTAGATAATATTTATGTTTAGTTCATGTTATGTTTAGTTATGATCTTCATAAAACGCAACGCAAACACTGGTGGATGAAACAAAAAAGGATTCATTATTAAAATAATAACTTAAGAACGTTATATACTCCATAAAAAACAGTTTGATTTGTTGTAAAACGTGATTACTACCGGTAGCGAATGTTTTCTGTTCTCTCAAAGAATTCATTGTTCGGAAATTTACGAATGTTACGATGTATAATATTATATTAATTAGAAAATACTTAGTATGTTTTGATATAGTTTGTATAACTATATACATTATATTGAAGAAAATTTTTTTTGAAAAACGTTATATAGAACTAATTGATATAAATTAAGGAAAAAATACATTTTTATATTATTATGGTTGTTGTGCAATTTGTTTTAAATAAAATTGATAGAAAATGTAAGAGTATAGACATTAAAAGATAGTCTATACGCGCCTGACAGCTCCGGCTTAGGTTTCGAGTTGTTTGAACTTATGGCTCTCACGGCTGTTTCACTCAATATAAAAGCGAGCTTGACGTCACAAGAATTTTTGTCTTTAAAAAAAAAAAAGAACTTCCGCATAAAAAGTATAAAAAACTTTAAATTAATAGTATTTTTTTTTTCTATCAACGATTTAATCTTGCAATTAAAAATATATATAAAAAAAAAAACTATTTCTTCTTTAAATAAATATTTACATGAAACGAAATAAAAATAAACATTGTTAAAATATTTTAAATGATTTTGTATCACTTTTCTATTTTTTGCGTAATTTACGGAAAACCTGTCTTGGGCCAATCAAGATTTGATAATTTAAGCTGCATGCTTGATAATTGAAATTTTACATACTTATAAACGAATGTCTATTTTACCAGATTTTTGGAGGGCATGGATAAAAAAAAATTGTTTAAGTTAGTTTTTTTAGCATTATTATTTTTGTTTTTACTTGTTTTATTTGAAAAACATTTAATTTTTGTTATGCCCTCCAAATTATTGAAATTTCAACCCTCTATGCACATGAAAATCAAAAAAATTATTTTCTGTATTTCTAACTAAAACGTCTCCAACCTTGGCAAATTTTGTTGCTTTTAGCAATTACATGCGTAAAATTTTTGTTTATGTTTTAAAGCAATGACGTAACTTTAAATGCGTAACTTCCCAATTCACTATGTAATTAAATTTATTAAAACAGCTTTTTTAGCGAGACAAGTTTTAGTGTATAAATAAAAATAACTTTGGCGGTTTTTTTTCTCTCGTGGCTAATCTACAAACATCAGATAAGTTGTTTAATCTGATATCTGTTATTGATATCTGATATCTACTCTGATATCTATTGCATACTTGTTATTTGTCAATAATTGTTATTTGATTTTATTTGTTTGTTTTATATTTGTATTACGAAGTTTATTTATCACTATGCATTCTTGTGAAAGGGAGATACTAATACTATACATTGGATGCTTAAAAGCTTAAGCTTTAAATTTTTAGGCATTTTTTAACATTTAAGTATAATTTTTTTGTTTTTTTAATAGTCCAACAATGTGTACATTTAATAATAAATATTGAAAATATATTCTTTCTGAGTTTTTTTTTGATAAAAAGTAACATCAAATTACTAATATTTAGCCAAGTTCAACATTTGCCGCGTTTATTCTAAAATTAAAGAAGTTTTTTAATGTATCTGTGAAAGTCATCAAATAAAACATTTTATTGGTGTTTTTATTCTTTTTACAGAACAAAATTATCTCTAATGTTTCAAAAGTTATAAAAGTTTTAGTAACACCCCCCCCCCTTACGTAAATATTTTCAAAAAATAACAAGAAGCTGTAAAGCTCGCTTGAAACAGCCGTGCTCTAGCTCCTAAGTTTTTTTTGGCTAAGTATTCCATAACGTATGGCTCTGAATATTAAGTTTTTTTCTCCAGCTCCGGTTTATTTAATTATATTTTAAAAGTTTAAACTAAATATTTGACGTATGAAAACGTTATAAATCGGTTGAAAATAAAATAGATAAGACTATATTTGGTTGAAAATAATTCAGACCCTACTAGGACATCTAAAAGTTTTGTAGAACAAATTAGTAGCTCGGGGTTTTTGTAGATCTAACACCAGCCGAGATCTAACACGAGCTGAGAAGCTAGCAGATTTTGAAAGGCTCAGGCTCTTGCTTCTTTTGCCTTTTCCAGCTTCGGCTATTATACCTTAGAATCCTTTTAAAAACTTCTGGTTCAAGCGCCCATACTTCGTCTTATCCGGCTCTGGCGTATTAGTACTTCTTTGACTTAATAAAATGGCTAACATATATTCGTAAATTACTTGTAATTTGGACATTTTAATATCCAATAAATTTTCAAAATTAAACGGTAAATTTTACCTTGGCAACACCATGCCAAATGTAATTGTGGTAATTTCAGCCCGCGCCTTTTTAAGTGCATTAAAAAACAAAGCATACGACCAATTTACCTCTATTGACATAGCCCACAAAAAAAGTTTTTGCATGCGTTTGTAGTTGCTATTGCGGTAAACCCACGCCTTTATATATATATAATAAAAACTTTTCACTGTTTGAAAAAAATCTGTTGTTAAGTTCTATCAATGATGATCAACATTGAAAAAAAAGAAAAGTATTTCGAAAATATATTTCAATACTTATCAGAAAAGATTTATCCGACTGATTTTCAGAAAAATGAAAAACGAAGCCTTAGAGATTTATCTCGAAGTTACTCTGTGCAAGGTAATTTAATTTCAGAACATTTAGTTAAATAAATATATCGTTCCAAGCTACACAAAAAATTTAATATTTTCTTTAAGATGGAAAGCTAAAACGGAAAGTCACGCTCTACAGAAACTCATATCTCGCGGATGTACTCTTTTGTAAACAAGAACAAGTAAAGATATTTTCAGAAGAACACGGAAGCCCTTTGGGAGGTCATTGTGGTGAAACAAAGTCAAAGTCAAAAGTTATGGAAAAATATTTTTGGCCAAACATGACAAAGGATATTGTAAAATGGGTAGGTAATCAGCAATTACACAAATAAATCAGTTGAAATTTTGAAACTGAATAAAAGTTGCATTTTTCTGAACAGGTAAAGGAATGCAAAGTATGTCATAAATATCGAGTACACTTCTTTCATCAGTAGAGCCGTTACGCTCAATTAAGGTAAGAATGCTTTTTATAAGTATAATAAAAACAGTCTATATCAGGCTTTCTCAGGAAACGCGTGCGGTCGCACGCCTTGAATGACCACGCATGTTTGTTTTTTTGTTGTTAACTTGGCCACGATTTTATTGCATATAATATATGCAATAAAATCGTGAATGACCACGCATCTTTGTTTTTCTGTTGTTAACTTGGCCACGATTTTATTGCATATAATATATGCAAAAAAATCGTGGCCAAGTTAACAACAAAAATACAAACATGCGTGGTCATTCAAAGCGTGCGACCGCACGCGTTTCCTGAGAAAGCCTGCTATATATAAATATATATATATATATATATATATATATATATATATATATATATATATATATATATATATATATATATATATATATATATATATATATATATATATATATATATATATATATATATATATATATATATATATATATATACATATATATATATATATATATATATATATATATATATATATATATATATATATATATATATATATATATATATATATATATACATATATATACATATATATATATATATATATATATATATATATATATATATATATATATATATATATATATATATATATATATATATATATATATATATATATATGTTTGTTTTTTTTAAAACAATGTATATTCATTTAGACCGATGCAATTACACATTAAATAATACTTATCTTTTTATTAACGTTTATTTAAGTAATAACTAATTGATATTCTATAATACTACAATAATACTCTCTTAATCTAGAAATAATTTATATTTATTATACAATAGTATATATTTACTATACTTTCTGAATGTTCGCTGACATAAAATAAAAATGAAACAATAACATGATTCAATGTTGGTTTATATGTAATAAAATATTTTAGACAACTCGAGTATGGGAAATTGTAGGTATAGATTTTGCAGGACCCTTTACGGAAACAACGATGGGCAACAAATACTTTTTAAGTTGCACTGATTTGTTTTCTAATTGGCCGGTTGCATATGCTTTACCAAATAAAGAAGCTGTCACTGTTGCAAAAGCAATTATTCAGTTAGTAACAACTTTTGGATTTCTTTCGGCAATACTTTCAGACAACGGAACTGAGTTTTGCAACCAGGTAAAAAAAAGATATGGTCATATTTTGTAAAATTTAATGCGACTGTTTATTGATTATGTATATTGTAATGTATGCGAATATTGTTATAGTATGTTTATTATAATTTTATTTTGCATTTCATCACTTTTGTTAAATATAAATGCGTTTTCCACTGTAGAAAATTAAGGAAACTGGTTAATGAAAATCAAACAAATTGGGACGAATATCTTGCTGTTATTTTATACCCACTGCGAGTGGAGAGACAACAATCTACGAAAGTATCCCCGTTTGAAATAATGTTTGGCAGTCGATCACCTGTTTGTACTAGTGACTTTGAAGAAGTAAAACTGTTTTTTATTATAAATTCATACATTAAAAATGTTTGCATTAATTACACTGGATCAATAACGAGTTTATGTATCAATTTAGAACAAAACGTTAGTGGAAGCGACAGTTGAAGATATAACGAGAGAAATGGAAGAAAGAAAACTTCAAATTAAAAATCTCACAAGTTTGGTTTATAAGGTTCGATTGCAAAGACCTTATCCTAAATTATATATATAAAATAATATAATTTATATATATATAAATTATATATATAAAATCAATCCTCTAATTAGCTATAATAATTAATAAATAATAATAAAAGAATTTAAAAAGTTAGTAAAATTGTTTTGTTTTAGAACAATACAGATGCTCAAAACAAACAAAACCTACACTACGATAAAAGAGTATTAAAATGTACAAAAATAGTAAAGGAGTCCATCGGTGTCGAAGATAAAGTATTGTTACTTGACATAAGAGGTCTACGTTCAAAAGACGCCGCATTCAAGCCACGCTTTAAGGGACCGTTGACTGTATCCCATGTAACGCAATGTGGGAACTTTAGGTTAAAAGACGACAACGGTGTGCAAATATCGGGGTCGCACAAAAAAATACATGTAAAAAAGTTCAATGTAAAAGGTAAAATGAATATGTTTTTTTAA